ATGAGTGCCTTCCACTTTGATTTTTCTGGAAATGGGTGAGTTACTTCTGGAACATGTTTCAAATTTTTTCTCCTTGAAGTGTCTGTTAATGTAACTTGATGTGTTTTCTTTTTCTCTTTGTTTAAGAGAAGAATCTAATGTTGATTAATTTTTCGTGATATTAAGTCATATTATATACAGTAAAAATTAGCTTTATATTATATTTTTTAGGATTTCTAAATCGCAAATATATGTCCCAATTCACTGTATTACTTTGCCTTACAAAAGAAACTTCTTCGCTTTCAGATAGATCACAGTCTTTCCACCTTCTTTGAATTTCATATATCTTATAATCACATTTACAATAAACTTATAATTTCTATAGTTAATTACAAGCTTTCAATGAATATGTTCATACAAATCATGCACATAAATGTAAATGCAATAAGATATGATGCTTGTAGGGTTAATTAAGAATTTTTATTTGCTTGCAAATGGATAGGCTATAGATAAAACTAAGAGGAAAAGTTTATTTAAAAAAAATAAATAAATTAGTAAGTCTTTGATTGCATAGAGACAAAGACAAATCAGACAAATACACAAATCTTCTTTCTTGTAAGTAACAAATCAATTTTAAGTTGCATGATTTCAAATCATTCAACTTAAACAAATAGACAAATAGACGTGCATACCATATGAACGAACAATTTTCTTAAAAATATTAATTCACATGGCTTAAAGATTAATGAACCGTTTGGGGCAGTTGCATTTGTTTCAAAAAATTGCAATATAACTATTGTTGGAAAAACAAATTTTTTGAAAGTTTCCATGAGTATTATAGATTTTATTTTTTTGAAGAAGTTGGATATTAAACTTCTTGCAACTACTGTACTATAGTAGATTTGATAATAAAAAATTACTTCTCACAATAATAATTTTTAAACTACAGCAATAAAATAGAAGTGTGACAACTATTTGGCTAGTAAAGCTGTGTAAAAGCTTCTCCAAACATACACTAATTGTAATTAAGCATTCACCTTTGAATTCCCCAGATAAACAAAGCCATAAATTTTGAGCTTTTTGAAGCAATAATCATTATTGATATATCCATTCATTTCTTGATGTATTTTGACTTTTTAATAAAATTCTATTTATGAATATGCAGATCATGAAATGAAAAAGCAAAACAAAAAATTGTCAGGGATAATATCAATAGATGTTTTCTTGAAAACTACATTCTTAGTTTATTCAATTGATTTAATAACTTCAATATGTATGACTAGACAACTTTTAGATTTTGGGATAGATAAAATTCTAATTGACGTTTGGGTTCAAATATGATCCAATTTAGTTTCTTATTTATATTTTGACTCATGTTTAATTTAGATTTCAACATAGAAATAAATTTTAATGAAGAGTAATATATATATTCTAGTGTAGGTTTTGGTGTAAAATTAGATTTAATTAAGTCATTCTATAATTGTAGATTTTTTTTTTACATCTCATTCATCTTTCAAAGATTAATCACGTGCTAAGGTTCTTTAATAGGATTATATTACATGCCACTAGTACTAGTGTAAAAAAAAAAAAGATGTATGCTTAAAAGGCTTTACGTTAGATGCATAAGATTTTTTTTTTTGCTTAGAATTATTGAGTAGAGTTTCAATAGTCCTAATAGGAGTGTGTGTGTGTGTGTGTATAACAAACTCCAAAACTCAACAACAAATCTAACGTTATTTGAAGTATTAAAATTTATTATGAAGTTGATCTTCATAATATAAAATTGACAAATATTATTATTTTAGTTTATGTTTCATACCAGCCTAATCTTTTTTTAAGCAACACTTCATCAAATAGTTTGTGCAAATTTCTTTTTTTTTTTGGTAAATTCCATTATTTTAAAATTAGTCGTGGTATACTTTTCAAAGAATTCTTCCAAATTATTTATCTAATCTAAACATACCATAAGATTACTATGCGTCTCAATCTATGTAGAAATAGTACTCTTAACTCTATAGTACTTATGCTGAACTTGTTTAGAATTATAGCTAAATTGATTTTTTTTTAATTTCTTTTATTTTGCTTGATATGTTGACTAATATTCATATTGAAGTACTAGATCTAGAAGACATTATGATATAATCTTAAGGTTTGATAATAAATTTGATATTGTATGTCTTAAAGTTCACTATTTTTAATGCATATCTAACATGTAAAATAGAAAATAATGCAACATATATGTCAAAAAATTCATAAGACAAGTTATTAATCCAAAATAACTATGAACTATAATTGATTAAAATAAAGAGAGGAGAAATCAATTTAGACGAAATATCTATTGTCTTATACATTTATACTATAAATTAAGTATCATAAAAGCTGCATAAATAATTGCGATTTTACACAATCCATAAAACTCCATACTATAGTAAATTTAACTAAACATAAATTCAACTAATAACAAAAAAATATAGAAATGGAAGACTGAGTAGAAGAAAATAAAGAAGGGAAATAGTCATAAACAAAGTTAGCCTTACTCTTGTAGAAGGAGATAAGTTATCTTGAAATTCTTCTGTTTAGAACTTGATCAAGGAATTAAGTTCTAGAAGGAGAAGGAATTGCACATCCAAATATAAATTTTATTCAGTATGCAATGATTTCTGTACATGCCTTAGACAACTGTTATCATTACAAAAATAGCAAGATGCAATTACCACCAACTAGACTTAAACCTGAGATGTTATAAATGCCTTGGACGTCACTGAAAGATAAGTAGCGGTGCATTTCAGTCCTGATAAGTGTACATAAAACTACAAGGAACCTCATTAAGCAAAATAGAAACTTGCAAGGAACTATGGTTATAATCACTAATAAAACCATATAGGAGCCACAGCTACAGTTCTACTAGAATTGCAAAGTTGTAGGAATAGGTGTTAAAGGAGCTGTAGATGCTTAATGAAACTGTCTACACCTCATTGCCATGGATGCTCACAATGACGATGGTGATATGATTACATGATGTGGTGTGACCTTATTATGATAGGGTTGGAGTGTTCGGCGATAGGGATGGAGGCTGAAGGTTGCTGGAGGGAGTAGACTGCAATCTTTGAGGCTTGGCATGTGAAGGAGGATGCTGAGCTTTGTGTGAAGAAGGTCGCGTGTGAAACAGGTTGTGTGAAGAAGCTTTCACGTGGAGGGCGTTGTGGAGAGAGAGGAGATCATGGAAGAAACTTCACATGCGAAGGCTTCATATATTGTTTGGATGCAAGTAAAGCTTTCATTAAGAGGGTGTTGTGAAGATGATCAACACGCATTGTATATTGGGAATTAATTTGATTTGGGCAAATTCCAAATGCACTAAAAATAAACTAATGGAGGAATTCTAATCCCTTATCAAAATTGATGTGAGACATATGCATGGAAACAAGAATTGCTTGGGGATTTTAATATAAGATTATTAAAACTTTGCTTGTTATAGAATTAATGCTTACCCAAGTTAGGCTTTCAGAATTATCAAGTCGAAATTACATAAGGCATGCGGTTACAACTAGATTAACGGGATGCTATCAATTTAACAACATAAAAATAGAGAGAGTAATGTTATGGCAAGAACAATAATCCACGACTAATAAATAGAACTCTTCACCTTGGGTCCCTCACTCACGCTCTTGTTGGTGGGGCTTTAATGGAGGAAGATTGAGAGAAAACCGTGCCACTAAGAGACAAATGGTACCCAAAGTCTAGTCCGTTGGAGAAGTAGCCGACGACGGGGAATCCACGGGATGACTAGTGAGCATCCAACGTCCGGGAAGAATGTGCTTGAGAGCGACTGGGAGGGTAGGAGATTTGGGGAAGAGTTCACCGTCGTTAAATTCTTAGATCTGATTTGAGGGCGAGGGAGAGGATCCGGAGTCCGGTGGTGAACTTGAAGACGTTCTGCGTGTGGACAGCCGTGTGGGATCTTGTGGGCAACCAATGAGAGCCTTCCGGATGGCGAATCAACACTAGAAAACTGCTAGAATCTTGGAACAACAGCTGTGATTCTCAGGACAACAAACATAGGGTTTTTGGAGAGCAGGGCTGCAACTCAACTTGCCAAAACCTCCTGGGAAGCAAACAGAACTTCAGGACAGCAGCTTTGCATGACCAGAAAATTCTAGACAGCAATTCGTATGTCCAGAAAATCATGGACAACACCTGGAGATGAGCAGGTAGTAGGGAGGAAGAGGGAAGGGGCTGCTTGAGCTAGGTGGGGCTTGGTGTGAGGATTAGAAATCTGAAATTAGATTTCAAGTTAAGTGGAATTGGAGGGAAAAATCTGAGGTTTTTATTTCAGATTTTATTAAAAGGGAAGTGGCCAATTTGAAATTCAAATTAACCCAATTAAGGGAGTGTGGGGCCGGCGATTACTAGAGGGATTTAGGGGCGGATTAAATGTTGCTTAGGTGGCAAAGTGGAGAGAGAAAGAAAGGAGGAGGGGGGCCAGCCATATGGGGGAGGAGATAGAGGGGTTTGGAATTAAACATGTGGGGACCACAAGGGGTTAATTAATTCTATTCAAATTTGAATTTTAATTTCAGAATTGATTGAATTTGAAATAACTCCCAAACAAATACTTGAAATTTCAATATCCTGACATTTGATTACTCTACACTCCTAATAATTAGAACCAAAAAACATTAAGAAGTTTTGATAATATATTATAGCCATAAAAATGTTTGATGAATAGCGTGAATTGCTTGAGAAGAATTTTATGTTTAGGATATTTGAAATGTAATTTACTATTGTGTATGATATTTATAGCATATTGAATGAGTTGATAAAAGTGAATCTTATATTTTAATTTCTATATGTTGTCCTAGCATTAATTTTTTTGACCTTAATGAATAGTCAAAATATTATGAAAACTTTTGGAACTTAGTCTTAACTAATTAAATTTCTTAGGTGAATATGAATGGTGTGATTTTATGTTTGAAGATCATAGAAGGTATTTTTCAAAACGAAATACATACATGATCTTCAAACATGAGTTCATGACTACCCATCCTCTTTATCATCTTAAAAACAAGTAACATGCACCATTTCATTAGTTTTCATGATGCTTAGATGCTTGAGTTTTTCTTGCTGTTTATAATATACATCATATAAAGTTAAATACATTCATGATCTTCAAGCTTAAGATCATGATCATCCAGCCCCTTTAATATCATTAAAACTAGTATACATAATTTCATTAATTTTCATGTGTTAAATTTTTTTCTTGGTAGATGTATATCATATGCAATGAGCTTTATTGTTGAAATAATGGCAAAATAAATTTTTATTGGGCGTTTTTAGGCCTTACTATAGCCATTTTTTGTCATACTTCATTAATGTTTTAATCTGTATGAAAAGTGATGAAACTCAAAACTTTAAATTTTTTCCATTTTATAAATGATTATGAAAAACTTATTTTATGTTTGAGGATTGTAAAAGGTTGCAAACTTACTCTCAGTTGTCATATCGATAGAATTTGAACTTCTGCTTATTCTAATATCAATGAAAGATATTCACTATATGCAGTCATATATACAGTATATATATTGTAAGTGCCACATTATACATTTGAATGGTATCAAGTGTTGAAAGCTTAACTTCTTGAAATATAACTAAAAAAATATCCATTGAAAATTTAAATGAAAAGATATTAACTCATGTTTGGAGGGAAATTATATTTATTGTGATTAACTCAAATGTATGAATCCTATAGAAGTAAATTATTCCATGAAGAGTGAGACTCAGATCACTTCCTATGGGAGCTTATAAATATGAAAAAGAATCAGTCCAATAACATTATATTTTTATGAATACAAGTAGATGCTTGAAGAGTTAGCAGCAATGCACATGCAGGGTGAATTTTAATCTATTTTTCAGAAGTTCTCATGACAAATATCATCTTAATATATGCTGATACACATATACGTCAAAAGTTTCAAAATGAATATGCTTAATTACAATAGCTAATTATTTATTCATTTGGTTGTAAAATTGTGAATACTAGAGGTTCATTTCTGGGAAAATAACTAGAATACGCTATAGGTGGTCTTAGTAAAATTAATCCACATGGAAGAAGGATGACTTGAGATTTTGTTATTTTTAGGGGTAATCTGATGGACCTGTCGATTTTATTGGGAGGGAATCTGGAAGTTTCTTGATCAAGAGGGATTTATTTAGGAAGGTTCTTAATCAAAGGGGGATATTTAGGAATGTTTACATTACAATTGGGAGGGAATTATTTAAGCAAGAGATCTAATTTAAATTCAAAATCTATGAGAGAATTATTTTGGGAAAATGAGGAGGAATTAAGGGGGGATTGTTTAGGAAAGTTTTATTTACAATTGGGAGGGAATTATGGGAGTCTATTTAAGGATAATAATAGGGTGATTTCAGATTATGTTTTGGGAGTTTGCTGAATTTAGTTTATTCTTAGGTTATTTGCACTTTAGTCGGCAGCTAGGGATTTGGGAGAACTGGATCTTCCTCTCCAATTGAAGATCCAATTGTATATTGTTGTTTTCTTTCATATAACTTATAATAAAAATAGTTTTGTGTGTTTTTCTTCCTAATTTCTTATTGTCATTCACTAATTTCGAGGAAATTGCATCCACTTCCTATCAAAGTAGTATCAGAGCACTTTTTGGGACCTATGATGGCAAGAACGTTGATGCCTTGGAAGAGCATCTAAATGAAAAAGTTTGCCAATTCAAATTAGAGTTTGAGGATATAATGACATCAATGGAGGAAAAGTTTTCCAACCTAGAAGGAATTATAAGGAAACTATTGGAGCTTCACACCCAACCGACTACATCGGAGGCGAGAGTACCTTTAATTGGACTGGAAAGTGGGGGAAACCCTAACATAGGGATGATGAGGGAGGATCGGGAGGTAGAAGTTTTGGGGGAAGAGGAGGAGATTCCGAGCCACTTCCAAGGAGGGGACAAGGTGAAGGAGTGGGATTTTTAATGGAGCTGAAAAGTTTGGAAGGAGAATAAAATAGGAAGAAGATAGAAGCACCAAACATGATTCAGCCACTCCTACAGTAGTATCGAGTGGTGCTCCAGCCAGTTCAGGGGTTTCCTCCACAGAAATGCGAGCATGCTATCATCTTGAAGGAAAGAGTTTCACCTATCAGTGTTCGTCTATACCGCCATCCCCAAATTCAGAAGGATGAGATCGAGAGATTGATTAGGGAGAAGGTGGAGAAAGGGATCATTTGGCTCAGTGTCTATCCATTTTTCAGTCTAGTGCTATTAGTCAATTGCTTCAGTAGCAGTTTTCGTCCAAGGTGGCACTTTGGGAGTGGAGTAATGATGGACCTGCCGATTTGATTGGGAGGAAATCAGGAAGTTTCCTAATCAAGAGGGAGCTGCTTAGAAAGGTTCTTAATTAAATGGGAATTATTTAGGAATATTTTAATTACAATTGGAAGGGAATTATTTAAGCAAGAGATCTAATTTGAATTCACATTCTAAGAGGGAATTATTTAGGGAAAAGGATGAGGAATTAAGGTGGATTGTTTAGGAAAGTTTTAATTACAATTTGGAGGGAATTAATTGGGGAAATAATTCTAATTTGAATTCAAATATAAAAGGGAATTATTTAAGGAAAGGGGCTGATTTGCACATTATGATTAATAACCAATCTTTTTTAAGAAGTTGTTTGGTTTGAAGTAAAATAAATATAAATATTCCAAATGCAGGAGTTTTGAAAATATTGATATTTGGTTTGAAGCAAAATAAATGCATTGTAAAATTTTGAAGTATTTGGAATGCACAATTTAGTTCATTTTCAATGTGTTTGAAATTCACCGGATTTAAAGCTTTGCTTATCGCTGACGGTTAGTTGTCATCTGTTGGTACCCTCCAACACTGGTGCCCCCCACTCAATGCAGCTTATTAGTTGCTATCGGCCACCATTATCATTAGGCTTTACACCACATTCATTTTATTTCAAAAAAAAAAAAAAGTAATCACCTGCATTTATTTTACACTCATTCAGACAACTCTAAACATTTCAATTACATTGCTTTTCTTTTACATTGTATTTCATCTTATTTTACATTCCTTATTTAGTAAAACAAAGTTTTTAATCAATTCAAAGCACAAGCTTTGGCAGCTAGCATGAAGACATAATTTGGATTCAAGGCTTTCTCCCACTATATGAATAAGTTTAATGGTTCTATAATATTTGGTTGATAGTGTTTTGCACATCTAAGTATGCATTTTTAATAAAGAGGAATATTCTGAAAACAATCTCGACAACTCGCATACAATATAGGCCATTTGTTTTGAATTAAATGATTATGATTATTTGTAGATGAGTATATATGTCTAGTTAAATTCCTTTCTTTTTATGCTAAAAATAGAATGATGAGATTTTTTTGGCTTTTAGTTTTGGTTTCTTACTTTCATATGTATTATACGCTATTTCCACATTTAGTTAATTTTGATTTTATGCCGGGCATAGGAGTGAATCTACTTTAGTTTAGCTTGTGACATGCTAGTGATATTGTGCTTTCCAGGGAAAGTGAAGGTGAGTTTCAATATGGAAACTATCGCAAGGAAGCTGATGACTTGCGTGCTGTGGTGCTAAATCTTTCGGAGAAAAAATTCAAAATCTGTGCTATTAGCGGGCATAGTAAAGGTTAGTAGCCAATCACATTATTGTATCCCACAATATGACTGTAATATATGGCTTTTTTTATTATATGTGGAGGATAAGACCTAAAGACAATTAAAACAGTTGATGGAAAGTTTCTAAATGTTTGTTCTTCTTATAATTATTCATATACAATAACTCCACTCATGAAAGGTACAAAGGTACATGCTAGTCAATTAATTTGTAAATTCATGTTGTTGCTTTATCCATTTACGCTTCTCATTGGAACATATGTACAATGAGCTTATAAATCCATAACAGCCTCTATTTTTTAAAAAAGGTTTTGAAATGCCCTTTACAAATTCTATTAAACTTGTCAAATGTCTGGGTTCTTAAAGTGACAGTTCATATTCAAATTTTAATTCTTGTTGGTCAATTTTTTTGACAAGAAGCTTCATTCTACTTTAAGCCCGTATCTTTTTTCTTTAGTCATGGGTGTTCTCACTAGACATTTGTAAGAGGTTGTACCCTTGTGTATGCTTTTTGCTGATGATATTCTTCTTGTTGATAAGACTAGAGAGGGAGTTGAAGATAAACTTGAATTATGGAGGTCAACCTTAAAATCTAAAGTTTTTCGTTTGAGTAGATTTAAAACTGAATATATGGAGTGTAATTTTAATAGTAATAGATCTAGTGGAGGGATTGTGACTTTGGGCAATCAAGTCATTAGTAAGAGTATACATTTTAGATATTTGGGTCTATTGTTTAGAGTGATGGTGAAATAGATGGGGATATTATCAGTAGAATTTAAGTTGGATGGTTGAAGTGGAGGAATGCATTGGGCCTATTGTGTGATAGAAAAATCCCCCTCAAACTTAAGGTAAAATTCTAAAAGATGGTGTTGAGATCTGCAATGCTTTATGTTTGTAGAATGTTGGCCATAAAAAGAGAAGCATAATATTAAGTTAAGTGTTGCAGAGATGAGGATGCTTAGGTGGATCATTGGCTTTACTCTTAGAGTCAGGATACGAAATGATCATATATGTGAAAAGGTTGGAGTAGCTCTTGGGGAAGATAAGATTAAAGAGAGTCGCCTTAGATGGTTTGGTCACATAAAACGATGGCGACGGCCTTCGGATGACCCGATTAGGAAAAGTAGATGTATTGGATTTGGCTTATGTTAAGAAAGGTAGAGGTAGACCTAAAAAGCTTGGTTAGAAAGTATTATAAATGCCTTTCTTTTTTAGATTTAAATGAGAATTAGACTCTTAACAGGACACAATGGAGAAAAATGATTCATATAGCTGACCCCACAGTGGGCTAAAGGCTTGATGTTGTTATTGCTAAAACTCAAAAACTATGCTTTTGGTATTTTGACTAACTAAAATTTTGCTTTAAATTTGAGCGCTCAGGAAAAATTACCCTTCTCCAAATGATATGTGAACTCATAAATAATTTTCTTTTAGGTAGATTGGGTTTTGTTAACTAGATTTTTTTTCATTTTGGATCAAGGTTTATTTAGATCTAAGGTTGAGACTTCTTAAGGATGTTATCCCCCATATTTATTTACCTTACATGATCGCTAGAGATCACTCCCAATTAAGTTAACTTGGATAATTGTTATGTTCATATTTAATATTTATGTTTAGATGTAGTTAATAGAGAATGGTCAAGGAAATAGATGTAAACACGATTAAAATCCAATTGTTATGTGAGGCAAACCTAACTTACAAATGTCAGATGTCTTCGAGTTGTAACGCCAAAGATACTCGATTAATAACCATGAGTTACCTCATCCTAGATATCTCGAGTAGATTGGGTGGAATTGTATGTTAAAGATGCACTTTTTTTATTGACTTCAACTTGTCCGCTGGCAAAGGGCATAGTATATCACCTTGATTGAATAGTTCAAAGGAGTGTAACGTTGCAAAGGGCATACTAGATGTACTTTTTAGATATGCTTTTGTATTTGCTTTATTACTTCATTCAGAAATTATGACTTCGAGAGTGAGATTTGATGGGATTTACTGCCTATAGGCTTTTTTATGTGATGGTGATCCTTTTGTGCCTTAATGCAACTGTTAAGGTGATCAAATTTTGTGAATTAAAAAATTTACATATGTATCAAGTTTGATTAGAATCATGAGGTTGATTGGTAATCATGAAGGTCAAACTTGGATCCTTGGCCATTCAACGGGATCAGTCGAGTGGATAATATATGATGTTGAGTAGTTATGTTTAGGAGTAGTATTGTGAAGTATATTTATGTGCATATGATTTGAGAAAATTCTCCTACAAATCTCATGACTCATTTGGATTATCTAGGGCTCGATTTTCCTTGACATAGGTTTAATAATTGTTTGAAAACCTTGATTGCTTTGACAGTTTTTTTCGCACTTATATGCATGTCAATGTACCAGCACAAAATTGATGTTAGTGGCATTTGAAACATATGGATTTGAGATTGCTTAGACCCTTGGACTCTGCATAGGATCAGATGGCGTCGTGACTTGCTTTTTAGATTGTACCAATATGTATCTAGATGGATTGGCATGTATATATCAAGAGTATTTACTATAATTATTTAGCTCGGTTTCTTTTGCACCTCAATCAACATAGCAAGACAATAGCTTGGTATCAAAGAGCTACTAGGAAAATGGTTTGGCCTCTCCTTCCTCATCACACCTTTATGGAAAACAGGAAACAAAAGGATGGAGAATTTGATGTGAAACCACTAGGAGTTACGATTATAAATTAAAAGAGAATTGTTTTAAGTTTTGCTCTTATAAGTTTATTTCGATCATGCAAGAGAGAGTTAAGAATTTGAATATTTTAACTTGTTTAGGCCAAAGATTAGCAATAGAGAATAACCACGACTATCCTTAAAAAAAATCAAAGTAATTTTAAATGCAAAGTACAAGTAGCATAATCCAACACTTAACAATGAGAGGTTCACCTCGAGGCCTTCTCACTCAACTACTTGTAGGCTTAGCGGAGAAAGGTGAGCCAAATGATGAAAGATATTATCACTACGAAGATGGCGCCGAAAAAAACTTTGTTGGTGGAGAGGTCGCCGGTGGAGATGGATGTAGTGGGTAGCAGTCGAGACTCCAATCGTAATTTGAAAATTGTCGATCGATGATGCTTGCAAGGATCGGGACGACTCGCTCCAAATATTCTTCCATGGTGGTGTCGTCTTCAAATCCCACGTCAAAACACGGAGATTTTAGGATATTGATGCTTCCGTCGGCGTTGAATACAAGACCCCACTCAAGCTCCGGATTCGCCATGCATGCTTGATGTTTGGGAATAATCCCAATATGAAAAGGGGAATGGGGGTGAAGAGGTGAGAGCAAGTGTGGTGTGCGAAGGCGGAGGAGGAGAGGAGAGGATGCGGCGGGATTTCTGCAGAGAGAGGTGAGGTCGGCGGGTACAAGGGAGGAGGCTAGGGTTTGGCGAAATTTGGTTTTGGAAATTATGGAAGGGATTACTCAAATATGAAATTTAATTTCAGTTTTGAGTAATTTATGAGGGAATTGACTTGAAATTTGAATTTCAAATCAATGGGAATTAATGCTTTGATTAGGGAATTAATGGGGAGCTTAATAGGGGGGAGGCCGGCGGTTTCAAGAGAGGAGAGGGAGGAGTTTTGCAAACAAATCCTGAAATAAATTTCAGGATTTGAAATTTCTGGAGGGAGTTTTATTTGAAATTAAATTTATAATTTCAAATTGATGGGGGATTAATGGAGCAATTAATGAGGGGGAGGCCTCGTAAGGCCGGCGGCATCAAGAGGGGAAGGAGAGGATGTGGAAGCAAATTACAAACCTTCCAAATTTGCTTGTGTGCATGAGGAGGTTTGATTACAAGATCCACTTTGATTCGAATTTCGAATTGTTTTGAATTTGAAAACTTTCCATATTTGGCATGACAAATTTGGAAATTTTCTTAACTCAAATAATTTGTATTTTCAAAATTCAAATCAGTGGGGAGTGGGGAAGAAGGCCGGCGGTGGAGGAGGTGGGATGGTTGGCGGCCAAGAGGAGTTAGGGTTGGCGGGTTGGAAAAAAGGCGAGGATAGGATGATGGGGGTAGACCACGAGTCACGGACTCTTCCAATGACTGGTGGGTATTGCTTTTCTCCCTCACCTTGGGCTCTCGTTCTCCTCTCTAACTCTCCACAAGAAGAAGAAGAAGAAAAGATAACCAAAACAAATTTCATTCAAAATATTCATTAACCATCATACAACACATGAGACCACTATATATAGGCCTCAACTCATAAAAAAAAAGAAAGTACGAAATTGCCCTATGGGCTACAATAACAAAGCAACTCCTCACAGGGGTAAAAATGGAAAAACTGCAAATGCTAAATAATACATCATGACATCGAAATCAAAAGTAGAGGCGCTGAATCGTGACCGTCGATCTGCGGTTTCGCCTGCGATAAACATGTCGGTAGCGTCTGTCGATGTCCTCATTAGAATTTTTTTATAACAGGGAAATTATCAGCATAGCTAGAAATTGTCAAAGTAGTTACCTTGGGCTGAACTTGGTTTACTAGTGGTTTGGTGGGAATAATGAATATAGAATGCTCACAATAGATCTTGATTACATGTATGGATGGATTTCTTTTGTTTTTTCTTTCTATTTGTTGATTTCTCTATTTCTATTTGTCTAAGTATCCTATTTTCTGCCATGCATGCATACAGAAAGTCATATCAATTTAGTTTTCTATGTTATTACCTTCAAATGCAAGATCATCAATATTGATGATAATCTAAAACTTGATAACTTCTTGATGAGCTAATTTGATCACTTTTTATGAAGATATGGCCGTTGATCAAAATTGATGAAGAAATAGATTACTTCTAATGCCCCTCACTTAAAGTTATACTTCTACATAAATTTTTTGAAATCATAATTGGTCATTTTTCTTTGCTTTATTAGTAATTTGTATTTAGAAAATATTAAAAAATTGGTATTTAAGAGAATTTGAATTAACTTGGACTTCTTAATAATAAGTCATGTCTCCTTAAGGAGACTTTTTTTACCTAGATTTTGAATATTATGATTTGATTTCTGAATTGAATGAAAATACTCTCTTAGTTCCTAACTTCTTTTCTCTTTCTTTTTCTCTACCCCTCTCATTCGTTCTTCTGTCTCTTCCTTCTACCTTGCTGCTAATCTATGCTTTCCTCTCTCTCTCTCTCTCTCTCTCTCTCTCTCTCTCTCTCTTTGTATTAATTGTGGTATCAGATCCTCATTACAGTTCTATTCCTTATCGTTGTCAGCTGATTTGTGATCCCATCACGTGCCTGTTTGAAGCCTCACCATTCCTCTGGAGTTACAGCCTCACTCTAAACCATGCCAGAACTACTCGTGCACTGTTGGTTTTCTATGTGGCTACTGTTGGTTCAGTGTTTAGTTCTCTTTTAACTGTTAATTGGGCTTTAAATCACCTCTTAGCTTGTTCCAGCTGGTACGGTTTTGTCAGTTGTTGGCTGGTGTTGGTGGGGCTGTACGTATTGTTGGCTGATGTATTAACGGACATTTATCTATTCTGGCGTTGGTATCTTTTACAATTGGGTTAATTGCTTCAGATGCCTTATTTTTAGTGGAGACGTGGGAATGGAATTTCAGCGACCGGGACTTGCTGTTTTCTCGTCCTGTGGCTGTATATTATAATTTCTGATTTGCACTGTTGTTGGAACCAGGAACTTCTTATCCACTGGAAATGAGAATTTGAAGTTGTTAACTTGTTTTTGCTGCTTGAGGCCAACATTTGAAAAAAAAAAACTAACATTTTCAACTCTTTTTTAATAGAAGGATCTCAAAGCATGTAAAATTTAGTCTTTTGTTTAATACACTTTCAAATTTCTTCTAAAATCTTCTATGTTTTTGGATTTGAATTTTTTGATTGCTGTGCAAGACTTGATAAAAAATTATGGGGGAGGCTCTTGTACAAGAATTTTTATTGCCTCAGGTTACCTGATGTAGAGATACATCAGGTAGCCTATAATATATCGCCACATGCTCTTACTCTTTACCGCGCGGCCCGACGACCCAACCCGGAACGAATATGCTCGGTATTTGCTAGGTATTGCTAGGTACTACTCGGTATTTGCTGGGTATTTGCTCGGTATTTGCGGCATTTCGTCGCGGGAATCGAATAGCTTGTTTTTGGTGAGGAAGAAGAGGGAATAGGCACCTTGGAGGGCCTCGCAGGCATCAACGATGTGGGAGATTAAAGGACGGGAGTTGGAGTTGGCGATAAGGTGGAGGATAACCTCAATGTCGGAGGAGGTGTTCAAGATGGAGCCGGAGTCTTCGAGACTGGCGCGGAGGGAGGAGTAGTTGACGAGATTGCCGTTGTGGGCGACGGCAAGTTGGCCGAAGCGGTAGCCTGCGAGGAAGGGCTGGACGTTGGCGAGGGAGGAGGCGGAACCGGCGGTGGAGTAGCGAACGTGGCAGATGGTAATACCGAGCAATACCGAGCAAATACCGATCAAATACCGAGCAATACCGAGCAAATACCGAGCAATTACCGATCAAATACCGAGCAATACCGAGCAAATACCGAGTAGTACCTAGCAATACCGAGCATATTCGTTTCAGGTTGGGTCGTCGGGCCACGCGGTAAAGAGTAAGAGCACGTGGCGATATATTATAGGCTACCTGATGTATCTTTACGTTAGGTAATCTGAGGCAATAAAAATTCCTTGTACAAACATGTGATATGGCTATTTTATTTGGTTACTTCTATCCTTAATTCTTTTTCATCTATATATTATATGATTAACTTTGTGCGTAATTGAGTTTTGTTCATATTTGCTACAATCTAATTTTATTTAGGTGGGTATGAATTCCATTTTTTGTGTGATTTTTATCCAATCATAGATTTTTTGCAAAATTTTTTATTTTTGCCTAAACTTCAAATTATTCTTTGGTTCAATTCTATATATTTTCAAGTTTTAATCTAAAGGAATGGGGTTTCACCTAAATCAAAGTTCTTTGACTTTCAATTTTGATTATTCACGTGCTTATTTTATGCCTGACATAAGATCATTGGCAACTAAAATAAAACAAAATTATATGAAAAATATTTCTTTCCACATAAAAGGATAAGCTTCAGTGTTTGTGTGTGTGTATATATATGTACATATATAATTTATTTATTGGTGGGGGCAGAGTAGGGGTGGGGGCACTGTGGAGTGGGCACATGACACATTGATTTCTTTTGCTTGGTTTTGTGTGCCTTGCTACAAGAATAGCTTCATTAGGTAGGACCTGTGTCATTTGGTTGTTTTTTCTTCATCTTTAATTTATGTTGAAGCTGTTAAGTAAAGATTGCGTGTTGAATTATAGAATGATTGTGTTATATTATAGAATGATTATGTAGATTGATCCAATTGTTCACGCTCTTTTGGCATGTACTGCATATTTCTTTTTTTTTTTTTTAAATATCTTTTTGCATTTGGGATATGTATGTAGCTGTTGTTACTTGTGTTCAAACACAAGGTGGTTTGACCAAGTATTTTCCTATTTCTATTGTATTATATCGAGGATCAGCCTTAAGCCTGTATCTTTTTGCTTTAGTCATGGATGCTCTCACTAGACAATTGTAAGAGGTTGTACCGTGGTGTTTGCTTTTTGCTGATGATATTCTTCTTGTTGATAAGACTAGAGAGGGAGTTGAAGGTAAACTTGAATTATAGAAGTTAACCTTAGACTCTAAAGGCTTTCGTTTGAGTGAGATATAAAACCAAATATGTGGAGTCTAATTTTGGTAGTAATAGATCTAGTGGAGGGTTTGTGACTTTGAGAGATCAAGTCATTAATAAGAGTACATATTTTAGATATCTCGAGTCTAATTGTTCAGATTGATGGTGAAATAGATGAGGATATTATTAGGAGAATTCAATTTGGATGGTTGAAGTGGAGGAATGCATCAGGCTTGTTGTGTGATAGAAAAGTACCCTTCAAACTTAAGGGAAAATTCTATAAGATGGTGCCATGGTGGTGTGATCTGCAATGCTTTATGGTGCTGAATGTTGGCTATTAAAAGAGAAGCATAATATTAAGTTAAGTGTTGCAGAGATGAGGATGTTAAGGTGGCTGAGTGGCTTTACTCTTAGGGATAGGATACGAAATGAGCATATACATGAAAAGATTGGAGTAGCTCTAGTGAAAGATAAGATTATAGAGAGTCGCCTTAGATGGTTTGGTCACATAAAACGGTGGCCTGCCGATAACCCGGTTAGAAAAGTAGATATATTAGATTTGGCTTATGTTAAGAAAGATAGAGATAGACCTAAAATGACTTGGTTAGAAAAAGATATAAATGAGAATTTGAGTCTTAACAGGACATAATGGAAAAAAAAGGTTCATGTAGCCAAGCCCACGTAATGGGATAAAGGCTTGTTGTTTTTGTTGTTGTTGTATTTTTTTGCATTGTAAGCTAGTGGGTTTTTAGACTGCGGACATGCAATAAACCAAATTGCAATTTTGAAAACTGCCACTGGAATTGATTGTTCGTCGCCACCATCTTATAGAATTTTTACTAAAGTTTGAGGGAGACTATTCTATCACACAATGCATGATCACTGCCTCACAAATGGACCCATTGTGCACTTCTGTTTGGAGGTACTAGGTTGAGTCAGCAGTCATCGTTAGATGTTTAATTAAATGACCCAAAATGGATAAAACTTGGACCATCAACCAACTTGGACACAAATTTGGATATGGTGAACTAGAGGATGTTCTTTACATCTCCTAATGTTCATTTGACAATTTGATCTCTGTTGACCTCATTTTTGCATGAGGTCTCTAATAGGATCCTATAATCAATTGAAACTCAAGTCGATTCACATCTCAACCCACTTAGATTTCAATCAAATCCAGACCCAGATCTCAGGTCCAAAGGCCTTTTCCTAAAGGACTTTTTCAGTGAATTTTCAAATACTTCAAAACCCTGTCAAATGACCTCTAAGTTAGAGTTCATCACTTGCAAAGTGATAAGACATATCTCTAGAGGTGACCCTCCAAATTTGAGCCCTTTCTGAGGTCTCTAACCCCAGAAACACAATTAAAATCCAAAGGTTATAAAACCTTTAAATATTTACAGCCTATGCCACTAGACCTTTCATTCAATGGATCCTAACCCTGGAGCTTCCTCCAAAGCTTCCAATCACTTCCAGACCATCAATCCTGACATGTTGATCAAAAAATTGTATTTTTCTGGATTCATTTCAGCTCCTAGTGGACTTGAGGTCAAAATGACTAAAATGCCCCTAAGGGGTGCTAATAGTCATTTTGAACCAAATGAACTTTAAACTGAATGCAACCACCTCCAGTAGGTTTTAAATGTCAAATCAAACCTGTTGGACCCATTCCCACACTCTGGGTCAACCTGGTTGACCAAATCAACCTGGTTGACCTAAGAGGTCCCTTAAGGGTCCAAATAGGTGATTTGACTAAAATGACCTATCTAAGCCATGGAACCACTTCTATTGGTCTTCAAATGTCATTTCAAACTTGCTGAGTCTGATCTCAGACCCTGGGTCAACCTGGTTGACCAAGTCAACCTAGATTAACCTATTGATTCATTAAGGGTCCAAACGGGTAATTTGACCCAAATGGCCTATTTAAACCCTAAAACCACCCTCACCAGACTCCAAATATCTGATCAAACCTATCTAGCCCATACCCACACCCAGGGTCAACCTGGTTGACCCAATTGCCCCTTAAGGCTCTTAATGGGTCATTTCAACCCATTTGATCTACCTGACTCATTTAAGCTCTCAAATCCATATCAAAACCTAAATACAATCTATTCAAACTTATTTGAACTCAAATCACACCAAGTTTGACTTGTTCAAACTTCAATTCTTAGTCAAAACTCTTCCCAAATATTCAAATTCCAAAATCAAGCCATCAAATCTCCTCTGAATTGACACAACCAGTAAACAATGTTTTCGCATATCCACCTAAGCATAGGTTGACTGTTTGACCAGTCAAACAGTCAACAAATGCTTTAAATAGGGTTTTAAATTATCAAATCCTATTAAACCCTCATTTTCTTTACTTTGGCATTGAGTCCAATGTACCCCAAACAGCTCACTAGACCCCTTCACTGCCACCTAACCAGTCAACAACTCAAGTTGACTGGTCAAACAATCAAACTAAGTATTTAAATGCCCAAACTCCTCAACCTGACCCATCAAACCTTATCCAGTCCAAACCATGCCCATCCAGCCATTGGAAGGGACTCCACAGCCTTCTTTGATGCCAACGCAATAGGCTTTGACCCTATTGACTAGTCAAACAGTCAATGGGAGCTCAAATGAGCTTACTTGGTCAACCCGCTCAACCCAAACTCCCCAGCTTAAATAAGGCTTGCCTAGCCTCTGGACCCGACTCTAGAAGTTTCCTAGGAGCTAAACTGACCTAACCCGAACCCTGGTTTGAGCCCTAACGGCATGTGGTCCCCCCATGCATATGGAAAGGACAACTCATCCTTGCCATCTGAGTAGCACGCTCCTGCTCTTCTAACCGCCAGCAACAGGTGTCAAGCATCCAAGGGATCTATCTGAGTGATCCTGACCGTCACTTTTGGCTCCAGCAGCTGGAATAGGGTAGAGAGGCGGGAGGAGATCATTCCAAGCTATCTTGCATTCGAGTCACTCCCCAGAGCACTTAGAGTTTCATTTCGATTCCTCTGAGCTTGACCTTCATTTCCTCATCGATTCTCAGTGTTTTGAAGCTACCGGTGGTGAGATTAGTGGTTGACCGAAAGCAATTTAAGTCCAAGCTCCCTCAACTCCATTTCTAGTGATCTTCTTAGCTCGAAGTTTGAAGGAGATCAACACGTGGACAATCAACAAATTCAAGCATTTTTAAATCATCTAAATCCGTCCATTAATCCTCGGTAAATCCTAAACCCTAGGCGTTTACATAGGTTCTTAAATAAAACATTAAACATTGCATCAAATGGCTTAAAATTAATTCCCCATTCTTCCTTATGCCCTATTCTATCTCTGTTTAAAATTTTAACATGTTTCATCTGGTATTTTATGAAAACGAGATCAAAAACGAGCTTAGGGCTCTCGGTTTTGGATGAGGAAGATGACGTCTCCATCGTTAGATATATTCTATTTAGATCAACAGCTGGGATTGGACTCGCTTTGGCTCCTTAGGATCACAGTTTAGCCAGATCCATATCAGACTGAATCGTGGCCCTTGATCCAAACTGCGAGGCTTCCCTTGGCCGTTCGATCATTCGTGATCGAGATCGAACCCACGATTTCGATCCTGACTGTTAGATCTCCTCTTCGCTCAATCTAACGATCTAGAAGCCTGTCGCACTGGATTAGTGGGTCCCACTTGACTGACGCCGTCCATGCGATCATGTCCGCTCGCCGACGTGTGTCTAGTCAGCGTCGCCGGCTAACCAGATAATTAAAATCCCCAAAATAAATTCAGAAAATGCTCAGAACTTAAAAATTTAACAGGAATTTCATTTCTTGCCCAAATTTAGAGTTCTTGGGCTTGTTCTGTTCATATTTCTGAGTACTTTTTTAAAAAAAAAATAATTAAAAATTATTTTGATTATTATTATATTAATAATTTCAATAATACATAAAACCTT